CTAGATTCTAGGCATGCTCAGCATCGAAATATTGATGAAACAAGCGAGATCAATTCAAACGTGACGAACAAGCACAAGAATGTAGCGCAGCCAATCGAAGGGCGCACGTTGAGTGGTTTGCGGTTTTATGATCAGCAATCATCCATGGTCCACAACAGATGTGTGTTATACAACGGAATCACATCATCATCGTCATCATCATCTGAACGACTGGTTTACTGTCATCTTCTCACGCAATAGGTGTATAGGTTTTCTCACTTGGCAGAAAATTCCTGATGAATTTTCTGTTCACGACCCTATTCACTTTCACTGAGTGTTTGCAATAAGGTAATTGCACTCGAAAACTATGCGTATCGCAAGTGCGATGTGAATAGCTAATTTCTACTGCCCAAAGTCTAATACCTCGGGCAAACTTCATTCTGATTACCTTTTTCGTGTATCTCCCCACTGAGTTGATTGAGCATAGGTTTGTAGGTGTCCGTCGTGCAGACGAACTTCCAATACGCCCATGGTTGATTGTGAGGTCCAGAGTATGATCTCCCACAACCTTCAACACAGTTCACAAGCAGACGGTGAAATATATCAGCATGATTCTCATTTCACCAGCGCTCCTATCCCGCACGTGAAATCTCACTTGTTAGAACACCGAGTTACCACTGTGCACTGATAGCCTGTGTTAGGTTTCTTCATCGCTTGACTATTCCACATTGGTTAGTGTTTTTCACCGTTGTTTATTATTGATTTCTCTGGATCAATTGGAAAACTCGATACCCCGATACAGATATTTTTTCTGTCCATGCTCTTCCAAACGCATCCAGCAGAATTATGTAGATTCGAATCCAAAAACATTTAGAATATCGAACAGTCGACTGTATTGTATTTGTAATGGTCTTAAGCGAACGGTTCAAGGTGCTGTTACTGGCATGCTTCGAGCCCTATGGTGTGAGGTTCGAGCATTACCGTCGCCACCCTACATTTTTGGTAGGCAATCTTGTTGTCGTCTGGTTCCATACCACACCCCCACTTCATTGGGACCTTATGTGGTTCGCTGCAGTCCAAGTCTCCGGGCTTGGGTTATCGGGTTCTCATGGAAACTTGTGATGACCACCGTTGCTGTTTCATCACTCAGTGGGGTATCACGAAAAATGGTTCACTCTCAACAACGAGGTTTCCATCCATATTTTGCAGTATATAGCTTATATTTGTCACTGCAAACCGTTCATCTGGAGCAGGTGATGCACCCGTCAATTTCTAGTTTGAGAGAATCCTGTACTGCGGAATGAGAACGTACACTGCGGCGAGGAAAAAATAAACCAATTACAAAAGGTGATATGAAGCATATGGTAATAATGCAACGTATACCTAATCCGCCTAAGCAATTCGATCTAGTAGTTTAACATACAACCAATTACGAAAACTCCGAGTTTTCTTGCCACTGAACTCGATCTGTTGAGAACTAATCAATGACGTAATGTTTCCAATGTTATATACGTATGCTGTATTTCTTGCTTTCCAACCTGTGTACCACGGTTTGTTTTTATCTCCCGGGATTATAGGAAGCCTTGTGTGAGACAAACGACGAACTACAAGAGACCAGCCGTGAAGAGGCCCGTGAATTGCGCGAGGAGATTGAACAAGGACACACACAAATACTAAACCTCACTCGCCATTTGGATGCATGCCGTGAGACCATTTCGGATTATGAAAAGACACTGGGCAAATTCCGGGATCTCGTGACCGAACTGCAGGCACAAAATAACGAACTGCGACGTTCTCTTGCCGAAGGTCAACGACAGATAGAGACAAAACTGCAACTGGATTCTGCGATTGCGCAACAAGCCTTTCCCACTACGGACTCTATGGTTCAACCATCTCTTGGTATCGGTCTTGTATCTCAGGCTCAAACCATGGCAAAAGTAAGCTGAAATGGTGTTGTTCTTGTTGTTGAGATCTCACTTGTTGCTGGACTGGCTGTGTCCCTGTACATACCTTGATTATANCATCCCCACCCAAACCATTCTGATTATTTTGGTGGTGTTCTCCCGTGATATGGTAGATGAAATATCTTTACCAAAGGAAATATTGTTATGCCATCCTTTTCCCCAGGAACGCTTCTTATTGCCTAGCAAACAGTGTGATTGGATATCATGATCAGTGTCCATCGCGCGGCACTTTTGACGTGACCAGTTATCGTGAATGATGTTTTTGTTCACGAAGATCAAACTGTTTGAGTTTGACCACATTTGGATACATATGAGAAATAGCTTTCAATTACGGCTTCACTGACTTCGTCCTAATCGTCACTGTCGTAAGGAGAGACGAGTGAAAAACGATTCGACAAGAATATGTAAAATTTTCAGTGCACCTATTCCACAGAGTAAACTCGCTTCAACAGGTTTAGGAATTGCGGTTCTCCTTCTATTTCCTGATCCATTCTGTCCCAACAGCATCCACATGGAGATATGTGGGGTGTCAATTTTCATCACATATTTGTGGAGTGGATACACCGTTCAGTCGAACTTCGCCTGAGACTTGCTAATGCTCTGCATTCGATGGTTGTTTACATTACATTGTCCCTGCCGTATTTTGTGCACAAAACACTTTTTTTCTGTTGCACGATAAGATCGACCAACACAGTGCTGAACATGTTAGGCACTGATGAATTCTTGGTCTATGTTGATGAAATATAGGTTTTCCATCTAAATATGTGTCGCGACTATGGATGATAACACAGCTCAGATAAGATCATGTACACGATATCGCATACAGGCTTAAAATCCCCCGATTCTCCGGTACCCTCTCACTCTGACTATACACGGGTATCTCACACGCAGCTAATAGACTGGTTGCAGCAATTTCGTGGGCACGTCGATTCACGTTAGCTGTTTCTTCTAAGTTTCGCCTTTCATATCCATTGGGACGATGCATTTTCTGGGATAATAGTCATGAAGCTCAGATCAAACTATTATTAGGGCGTACAACAAAAGATCAGACTACAGTTGATCGCATCAATTGTCACGCCCTCATTGCTGCAATACAGCTCGGGTTTATCATTCTGTGCACGTCAGAAGCGATCACAATCCAAATGCTGTATTCTTCCTCCGGTATGAAATAAGAAAGAACCGATCGCGTTTGGATTTTGTGTTCATGTTTGCTTATTCAAAGTAGGCACCACCCAACATACATTCAGTCCGTAATTGTTCGTCCATGGAATATTTCAGGTTATTGAAGCTGAATTGCGCCGACTGGAAGCGGAACAAAGTGGTGCTCATGTGGCCCGGTTGTCCGCCTTCCTGCCGGACTCTTTTCTCAGACGCGGTGGAGACTACGATGCCCTTCTTGTGGTGCTCCTCGTGGATCGTTTGGCTGCCAAAGCCGATCTGCTAGCTAACCACGTAAGTATTCAACTTCTTTTTTATTCAAATCAAGCAATGACTTTGTGTACTGTATATTTCGGTTTCATTTGTTTCTCGTCCATTCAGTCTTCACAGCATCCATAAAGGTGTCTCGTACGGCATACATAATCAACCCTTGAACTGTCAAAACAAAATAGACACTCGTCTTACGTTTAACTCGGTGGGATTTAAACATAACGAATAAACGACTTTGTACAGCGCACGCTTTACCAACTGAGCTATGATTTCACTCCGGTTGCACTGGTCTTTTCACCTTTGGGTCGGTGCACTTGTAAGCTGACTTCCACGGTACGTTTTCCTTGGAATCCGTAATCCAGCGGCCGACTTATAATGTATTTGTTCAAATTATCCTCAGTAATTTCCTAAAGCAGATAATTTGAAGAAAGCAGATGTTACCGAAACTGATGTACGGCATGCCAGCACGTTACCTAGTTCACATTTCTTTATGCTCTCCCTAGACTTTACACACCTTAAACGAATTGACTTTGCACACCAACTCGTCCAATTTGCATGATGCTATAGGTAGGCTTGTCCAACGGAGCCTCAGGATGGNCAGGATGGAGTGAAGGAGGTGCAAACAACTTTGGTTTCGGCAATGTCTACTTTGTTTTTGTGCAATCCGCTAGTTGAAAAGTTTATAGCAGTAGCCTATCCATGAAACACTTTCCCTTGTCCTCGACAGATGCATTTCCACGTCCGCTCCATTTCCGATGCAGTTGTGTATGTGTGTATACCCGCAATCGTGCGTGAGCTTCATATTGGCTACGCTACACTCGGGGACTACCACTTTTGCTGCATAGTCTTTGGCCTAGACTATTAGCAAGCCGATAATACTACTGTGGGTTTTGTATGAATGCCACCACGTGACCTGTGCACGTAGGCGGATCAATAATCTACAGTTACATTTGCTTGCGCACGGCACTGCCAATCTCAAGCACTATAAGTTTATTGATTGTGTGATAAGACGGTTCTCTTTTTGAATACGGTCAATTTTTACGGCAGGGGAGGAATCATGTGAGAGGATCTCTGGTGGACGTCAATTCCACCATTGCACACGAACTTTGATTTGTCCTGTGTCGTATTGAGTTAGTCGATAGCTTTCTTGATAATGTCAACTTTCCTGGAAATGTTCTAGATAAGTGATACATTTTTATTGCGATTTTGTGATTTGTTTCCAAACATGTGAATAAGGCACGCATTCAAACCGAGTCTCTTCATATGTGGGAGGTTTTATTTGTTTTATGATAATTCTTTCTTCTCTACCTGTGACATTGTGGACGTATTATTTTAGCTACGGTACGTATTTGACCTGCAGGTTAAAGAATCGAGTTGCCAGTTCCTGTTACCAACTTGGAATGCACAGACAGCACCAGAAAACTGTGCGATCGACTGGGTCGAATACCGCGTTGAACTCGAAAAAGGACTACGTTAGGAATGTTTCTATTCGAGGATTTAGCGAAGGGTTGCGATATGGTCGATGCGCCCTCGACCCGAACCAAAACCAATTTGGTCTCATGCGTGGACAGTTCACATGCAACACATTCGACGGAGCAGGATGCCAGAGATAATTTTTGAGATAATGTTGATCAAACCGATCCCGCTGAGGTTTTCTCCAGAGGGTCTATCGCCTTGTAAATCTGTAAGACGACCCATTCACTCTATTTATCTGGAGTGTGTTCACTTTTCCATACTGAATTCAAGAATTTCATCAACTCAGAAACTACGACTGAGGATAGAGTCAAGCCATCCGGTCGAAAAAACCCTGTTCCTTTTGGTGTAGCTTCCCTCGCGAGCAGGAGGGCTGTCAGGCTCAGCGCACAATGGATCACTAACTGGTATCCAGTTGAGAATACAACGCTCAGTTTTGACACTTGATATAATCCTAATGCCGGCAATACTGTGTTTGTCGGACGCCTAATCCCCTGATACAGAGAGGGAGAAAGAATCACCAGGAAGAGATTAGATCTGAAAAACGTAGTGGTAGTTGAAGTGGGTTCAGTGACCTAGTCCACACTCACAATCACAGTTGCAGGGGAGGCATCTGGCGTGTTTGGAAGTGAGAGGAAGAACTGGAGGGGTTAGCAAGAGCGTTTCCCAAATGGCTGCCTGAGACTCTAAGGTATGACATACTGTTCGCAGAAATCCACACCGATGAAAAGGGGTTTTGTATGGGTACCCTTACCGGGGTCTTTGATTTAAAAGTTAGATCCGAAAGTTAACATAAATTTTCGGTTTTTTTCCTTGGGAACTGTTAGACTCAAAAGTCTGACGCAGAACGCAGTGGGATACCAATCCAACGTGACCGAATCATCCTTGTGAGAGATTTTACAGATCTATCACGTGAGACTTTAGAGTTTCGGTTGAGTGTTTTGTTCCATAATGCGTTGATTATCGGTCGTTCATTCGGGTTTGGCCCTGAGTATTGTGCACTTAAAGTCAGACCAAACGTGAGCGGGAGAGCGTCTTATTGGCTATGGGTTGCACGGCGTGAGCTAGCAGCAACTATCTCGTGAAGTATAAAGACATCTCGTAGGAAGCCCAAGACAACCCATCCCTCGTATCTATTTAGTGTTTTTTTTTCGGTGCTTTACTGCTCCTGTCTGTGTTTATTTGCGGAATGTAGTTCTAAGGGCACACATGCGGATAGTCAAAGGAAGCCAAAAGTTACTGCATCCGCTGGCTTTGTGGGACGGAACTTTGTCTGGCTTCTATCCATCAACATTACAGGTATGACTAGATCTATCGTTTTGGGGAGCCATCCTGTAGAACTCAGTGGGTTATGGCGGCACTCAAAGCATTTAACCACGTTAAATTGTAGTTTCGTGTGGATAATGATTTGTGGGGGAAATCAGAAGCAAACGAGGCAATATTTTCGGCGAAATTCAAATCAAGCCGAAAAGTGATGAAACTGATGAAACTGAGTACACGAAGGATGAAAAGTAGAATTGAAAGTTATAGCTTAGTAAGTTTTGCTTGGGGATGTGTCACTAAACTTGCACGAAATATTTGCCGGGAGTTTAGAGTTGAATTCAACTAACAGTGCGCTTTCATCCTACCTTTTTGTCATGCACAATAACTGACTCACTTTCAGTTAGAAGCCATCTGAACAAACTTTACTGAACAGTTATGGTCAACACCGATCTGAACTGGTTGTTACCGTGGAAATGCTTCGTTTTTCATGCTCGTGATGTTCGAATCCTACATGGACCGATAAAAGTATGATACTGATGGGGTTTATTAAATATGAAATTTGACCCTAGTGCTTCTTGATTATATATTCCATTGGACGAATTAGGGATTGTCCGAGAAGATGAAATCATTTCAATCCAATTGTTTAGATACCCGATCTAATAGTCCTAATAATAGGTATCTGAGCCGAACCATTTAGATCTGTTAGTCTCACTGAATGTGTGCAACGCCACAATCGCTTCAGTGTTTATACGGTGATAATCTTGTTTCATTTTTTTTCCTGCATACCATTCATGGCAGCTGTTAGGTAAAACTAACTGTGCCACTGCAGGACACTCGCCTTTTGAACAGGAAAAAATTGATATCACTTTGATATCGTAGACGACTTGGATCGAAGAAAGTTATTCGTTCTCTCTCCCAATATGCTTGGCGGTGGTTTGATAAAAAATCACCGATGGCGAGAGTAGCCGCTCCTATAGGAACCTTATCTGTCCACATCTATAATCTATACGGACAACCTAAATCAACTAAAGTGTTGCCCCATTCTCTCCCCATCCTTCACAGACTGGGTAAATTCTCAGCAGCGTGCGCAGGTGCATAGTGGTCAGAGGTCAGTGTGGATTATTTAATAAAAGTCATCAAAATACGCCTTAGATTCTTGCTCGGGACCGAATAAACGATACCTTTTACAGCTGTATGCAAAATCAGGACACGCGAGGTACGCAGCAGAACAGCGTCTCGACATAGATGCCTCATTAGTGCTCATCTATGAGCTTGCTATGTTTTATCCAACGTAAGCCACTAACGAGAGGATTTGGAAGCGCTGAGTGATGGATACTTTATGAGAATTGAGGCTGTCGCAAAAAAAGGAAGTCGGAAACCGGTATCCGAGTTCGCATTGGTTTCCACGTATGCAAACTAATCCTTAAAAATTTGACCATATGTTGATACCCAAATAATGTGACAGTACAGTACAGGGAAAGTAATTACACTCTTTATATTCTCGAACAGAGTTTTAACTTATTCTGTTTGTTTGAAGTGAATTGTGAAGTGTTCCGTAATCTGTGAACTGAAAGGCAGAGAGGAAGTTACTTTCATGGTGTTGAACCAGTTCGATACCTTCCTATTGTCATAAAAACACAGGGAAAAACCTTTTTATCGGACCATTTTATTGAATCAATTACTCTCCGACAAAAATAGTGTGGAATAGCACAACTCGCCAGAGCACTTCACTTCAGCAGGATTTTCACGATATTAGTCTTCCCGAGACATTCCAAGCGTCCACAAATCATTATTAGAGAAGAACAAGTAAGTGATACACTCATTCAGAAATGGAGCGTAGGTGTTAATGATCACGCGAGTCCAATCGTTGTCGCCGATCTGCATTAGCATGATAGCTGCTAGCTAGATACTCAGCTTTGGCTGTCACTGTACAGTGTGAAGCATTCAAATTAACCATAGCGGCTGAAAGTCGGGTATGACACCCGTACACCGTTGTAATGCGGTTGTTCACCGTTTTTTACAGTAGAAACACCCTGTTCTTGTTAAGCAATTCGTTGATGAAACCACAACATTCTCTTTTCTTACCGAATAAAACGATGGAGTTTTGTCAACTATGACACACCCTGCAGCTAGTTAAGCATATTGCTTTGGAGACACCTTTAGCGACAAGTAACTTCTATTGAACTTTTACAAATTAGTACTGCCTGCGAACGTTTTCCTAGAAAATCAGACTTTTTTCATGAAACTGAGCAGGATGGATTATTTTGAAAACTAACTGATTGTGAACTCTCTTCTGGGTACTTGCAGTTGTGTGAACGATATCCACTACCTGCGTGCATTCCTGGTCAAGCAAAACCGCCGACTATGCTGGCTGCTGAACAGAGTGAAAAATCACCGGAACCGGACACCAATATTGAAATCAATCTGCCTGGTTCCAAGCAGCCACTGCCACCAATGACCAAGACCAAGGCGGAGCTTTACAGTTTCGTTACCAGGTTGATCCATCTGTTACGTTGTTGGTCAGCTTTATTGACACAATTTAAAGAGTAAGTGATATCCGTGATGTCGTATCATGACATTTGTTATTCTCTAATTACATTTTGGGCTATTTCACTCTCGTGTTAGTTACATCATGCAACGTTTGGCGTTCCTTTATGGTTTCCCGGTTGGATGGACAAAAGGACCTCGTGAGCCTTGTGCACTTGCATTCAGATAGCACACAAGCTCTATGAGTTCTGTTCAGAACAACGCACCCAACTCGTCTCGTTCCGTGAATTTCGCCAACATTCAGCTCGCACTAACGCAAGTTTTCAAGTGATGGACTCCCTTGGTGTCCTAGGTCGTCCAATGATGAAGGAATGGTGCTTAAGTGTGCCGTACAATGGCGGAGTTAATGTCAAGCGTAACACTTGTCCTGGAAGTTACTGAGAGTTTGTTCGATGGATGTTCATCTTCTTCTTCGCGAAGGGTTACTTATTACTTTGTTGGCATTGTCTTTAATTCTTCAACCAACCACGAAACATCTGTT